CCAGGCTGGAGTACAGTGGCACAGTCCCGGCTCACTGTAACTTCCATTTTCCAGTTCCAAGTAATCCCCTTGCTTCAGCCTCCTGAGTAACTGGGACTACAGGCACAGACCACCACGCCCGGCTAATTTTTTTTTGTATTTTTAGTAGAGAAGGGGTTTCACCATGTTGGCTAGGATGGTCTCGATCTCTTGATCTTGTGATCTGCCCACCTTGGCCTAGCAAAGTGCTGGGATTACAGGTGTGAGCCACCACGCCTGGCCTTTTTTTTTTTTTTTTTTAAGACAGAATCTTGCTCTTTTTGCCCAGGCTGGAGTGCAGTGGTGATATCTTGGCTCACTGCAACCTCCGCCTCCTGGGTTTAAGCCATTCTCCTGTCTTAGCCTCCCAAATAGATGGGATTACAGGTGTCTGCCACCACACCCAGCTAATTTTGTATTTTTTAGTAAAGACAGGTTTCTCCATGTTGGTCGGGTTAGTCTCGAACTCCTGACCTCAGATGATTCACCCATCTCGGCCTCCCAAAATGCTGAGAGTACAGGTGCGAGCCACCACGCCCAGCCAATTCATTTGGATTTTCTACATCCAAGATGTTGTGGGTAACCCTCCAGAGACAATAAACCCCTCTCCCAAAATTTGAATCAGATATTGAGATGCCAAACTACTGAGATGTAGTAAAAGGATGCCAAAAGGGTTATTATACTCATAATGAGGCTTTGAGGGAGAGCAAGGCACGGTCCCAATCATGTCCCAGAATGGCTTGAGAGCCTGAAGGGTGAGTGACTGGCTTGTGGTTTTACACTGGTTAGAAGGTGGGGCTAGAGCAAGAGTTCCCTCACGTAGGTCTGAGCCTGCATGACTGAAACTTCCCGTTGGTGTCAATCAAGGTAGCACTTTGCTTTCTTATCAGCTTGCCAAGATGTGGGGCAAAAAGAGAAAGGGGAGAATTCCAGTTTCTGGTATGGCATATGAGAAGTTTAGAATTTAACATTTATTCTTAACAACAAGTAAAAAGCTAAACAAAATGAAAAACTGACAACTCTTCTTAAATCCATCAAAGAAGTGAGATCATAGGTAAAATACTGCCCTCTAAATAGGAAAGACAGACAGATAAATACAGAGAATCACACCTTATTGGAGCAGAAATCCATGAGCAGAAGAAACCTCCATGGAAACCAGAACCAGAGAAGGAAAATGGTAAATTGCTGGAAGCTCAGTGTAGAACAGTCTAAGACCTAAAAACTGTAGGATGCCCAGTCATAGAGGGTTCTCACACTCCAGGAGCTCTACCAAGTTCTCCCAGTAAAGATCTGAGAAAAATCCCTCAGGCTTCCTACAGGGGGAGGAGAAAAGTAACCATATGGAAATATGCCAGAACATTCTGTTATTCTTACCAAGGCCTGCCCTCAAGATAAATGGTTTTGCACAGCCCAACCTATTGGAGTTTTGTCAGAGATTAACCAACTAGGGGAATACCCAAATGCAACCTGCTCTAGTCTCCCATGTGGAAGAAGGGAAATATGCAATCCAACCCACTGTAGTATCCTGTTCCACCAAAGGAGAGAAAAAAACTGAAAAGCACTTGTGAAGTTAACATTTCAGAGGCACAGGCTCACTAAAAGACTAAGAACCTAATCACAGGACTGTAAAACATTTTCTCTTTCCCACATCTTAATATCAAATTACTAAAGACCTATTTACTACAATTCTTTTTACCCAGGTACATCATGTCTAGCTATCAAGAAAAAACTTACAAGGCATACTAAAAGGAAAAAGCAGTTTGAAGAGACCAAGCAAGTAAGACCAACAGAGGAAGCACCAAAACCACACTCAGACATGGTGGGGATGCTGGACTTATCACACGAAGAGTTTAAAGCAACTATGACTAATATGCTAAGGGCTCTAATAGATAGACAGTACTCAAGAACAGATGGGCAATATAGGAAGAGAGATGGAAATTCTAAGAATCAAAAGAAAATGATAGCAATAAGACAAATTAAAAAACCCATTGTAACAGAATTGAAGAATAGTAGACTAGACACAGCTGAGTAAAGAATCCCTGAGATTGAAGACATATTAACAGACACTTCCAAAACCAAAAGACAAAGAGAAAAAAGATGGGGACCTCCCACACCAAAAATGAACAAACAAACATAGAACAAAACATCCAAGAACTGTGAGACAATTACAAAAGGTAAAACATACATATATTAGAATACCAGAAGTGAAAGCTAAAGAAATCTTTGAAACAATAACTGAGAATTTATCCTAAATTAAGTCAGACAACAAACTGCAGATCCAAAAAGTTCAGAAAACACCAAGCACAGCAAATGCTCCTCAACATTACACCTGAGCATATCATTTTCAAACTGCAAAAAATCAAAGACAAAGAAAAAAATAGTAAAGTATGTGAACAGAGGGCAAAGACATCTAAATAGAACTAAACAAAGGAAAATGGCTAGGGAGAACTTTCTAGGGAAGCTGGGGCTGACAAATGATCTAGTCTTTGAAAGGTAAGGTTAAGTAATTGTGGTAGTGATAAAGTGTATTCAAGAGGGACTGATTCACAAAAGGCAAGAAGATGCTGGGAAATCCAAGGAGATCGTAAAGTGAAAGCAAAAGAGTGGTGCATGGAGGCCAGATCAAGAACTGACATTGAAGTGATGGGAAACTATGGAAGAATTTTAAACAGAAAAGTGGCAAAATTATATTCATATTTTAAAAATGTAACTAGGTTAGAGGGAGAGCACATCAAGATTAGAAACAGGGAAGATATGATAGTAGCAGTGGGGAAAAAAGAGGTGAAAGATTCCATATATATTTAGTGAGTATAGTTACTAGGAGTAGAAGTGGAAAGAGAATAAAGAGCAAAATCATATCATTCCTTGGTTACTGGTTTTGACTGTTTTTTTTTTTTTTTTTTTTTTTTTTTTTTTTTTTTTTTTATTTTTTTTTTTTTTTTCTTTAAATTATTTGTACCCTTTCCCCCCCAATACTACTTAATAGCAACATAAATACAAAAAAAAATTGCTGGGAGCCAAAGAACAAGATAATTTA